ACGATTACCACACCTTAAAATCCTCCAACAAGGTAATGCCGATTGTGTGAATTGTGAATTGTGTTTGCAGCGGCTTTCTTGTAAATCTGTTATTTTATATAACTTACTTATCAAGCTCAGAATTTCTTGTAATTAGTGACTGAACAAAGGCTGAATTATCAGATACTAGTATGGTTCACAGATTTTTCTCAATATTGATATTTCTCTTATAATGTTATTATAGTTGATGACATTAAATATTGTTTAAGATTGGCCACCCTCCGATGGATTAAGACAATTTTACATAGTGTGCAAAGAGGGGGCTAAGAGATTTTGACAGTGGGAATGAAAGAAATATATTTAAAAGAATTATATAAGTCAAGGAATGAGGAAATCTGTAACTGTGCCATAGTTCGCTTAATCTGTTGTAGTTTGTGATTTGTGGGTTACAGTAACAGTCTTAGGAACAATGAAGGTTAGGTGGGCAGCAGGGGTATTGTAGCAGGTCGTATATTAACAGGAGGGGCAACTGCTTCCTCGCCCCCACCTTCCCCCAGTCCCCACGCTGTCATTGGTGATTTTGTGACATTATTATTATTATTTAAATATTGCTTGATATCTTTACTCAATGCTTTATTATCTCTTTGTTTTTATATGAAATGTCCTTATTTGGTTCTTTCTTGAGATAATAAAGGTATCCATCATGCTCTCTATATAATTTCTGCAATTCGTTAATTAGAAATCAAGCAAAAATGTAAAAGCAACTGATTCACTACACTATTTTTCCACATAGTATAGCCATTCACAATACATCATGTTAAGGGGTATTGTTCAACTCAGTGTAGTAAAACAAAAAGCAAAGTTTTCATAGTTTGATGTAATTTATAATGTAAGGATCAGTAATGAAACAGAAGTAAGAATTGTGGCTATATGAATAAAAAAAACAGACATGATGTTTGATAGTTATATAATAGAGTGATTTAACAAGAAAATTGATGAAATAAACTTGAATAAAAAGGAAATTAATATTGTAAGTCAGGGAAGTATAAAATAGAAAAATAAGTAGATGCAAAAAAGATAAAAGTTTTTATATTCTTTATTCAAAAGAAGGAAAAAGGATGTATAACAATAATTGTTGTTCCAAGGCAAAGGAAAAAAAGGATGCTGGCTTCATACTGTCTCTATTTTAAATCATTTGTATACGGTATAACCACAAATGTCCGCTGAGACAGAGCTGGCGGCATCTGTCTGTTTCCCTCACCAGCCAGCAATCATCTGCCCTCCAACTATTGTTTGACAGTTAACGAGCATTCGAGTGCAGAATGTTACACAGCCAAAAAATTAACACTTCTAAACACAGTAATTATACAGAAAAGATGAATAAGAATACCAGTATTTACAAACAAAAATGATATGTAACAGAATTTTGAAATATGTATAAAAGGATTTAGGTATTACTGAGAGTGAAGAAGGGAAATTGACAGGAAATGACAAAATACATATTTGTAGATTCATTTGAGGAGTTACGCATTCTAAAAATCTTTGCTTTTTATTTTCGTTGGTATTTATTTACATTGCAGAAACTGGATTAAAATCAGGGATATTTCCAATTTTAAGTGTATTTATGGATTTTAAACATGTATACTTACTTATAGATATATAATAGAAAAAAAAAAGATTAAGTGTCTATGTCTATTTTTTTTCATTTTCTTAAAGTATATGCATTAAGTCTGCGTGTGGGTATAGGTACTGTTGTATAGGGTACTGTTTGTGAATTTGTTTGAAATAGTTTCAATTATTCAAGTTAAAACAAAATGTAATGTTTTGTAACTTCTGATTTTCTTTCAATTTTTTTAGGGAGCATTTTTACTTTTTTGTCAGCACGAAGGGATAATTTATACCTTTTACTTGGGCATTACTTTTCTGAAGAATTTGTGAATATGATGAAGTGAAGTATATTTTTTGTTTCAGTTTATAGTTTTATTCATTATTTGCATGCATAAGTTTGCATGATTGCTATGAGATGGCCTGAATACAAGATTGTCAAAAGACAGTTATGATTATTACAATACTATGATATGTGCCAAATGACATCATGCTGTAAATGAGACCCCAAAATTAGGAAATTCTACTTCAATATTTTTATTTTCCTACTCAATTGCAAATCCGTACAAGACACAAAAATTAAGAATATCTTTCATGGAAAAAATGGGAAAGGTTGGGCGCTGTCTGAAATAGGGATGATGGTGGGATTTTTGCTGTGTTATTACAGTGCAGTGCATTACTCAATGACTTTTACACTCAAAATTTATATAGTACATTGAACAATATGTTACAGTTAAGGAACTTGGAGAAATGTATGGGTCAGTCTTTTATTTAGATCTATATCAATAAATGAATCATCCTATAGAGTTTATCAAGGATATTAGATGATTAGCACTAACAAGGAATCAATCATTTATCATAATTAAAGTGCATCATGCAGAGTTAGATATAAAAAAGGAACAGTACAGTAATGAAG